TTTTTTTTTGTCTTTTGAATGAATCGAATAAAAATCTTGACAAATGTTGGAGAGAAGCATATCGAGTTAATATATCTCTCACAGAGGAGCAGAAAGATAAAGCGGAAGATGAGGAGCAGAAGGAGGGAAACGAGGAGGATCAAACTGCGAAAGAAGGATTAAACGAAGACGATGCTGCATCGATCATACAGAGTCGTAAGATTGATTCCAATAAAAAGCATAAATGTTCACGTTAAATATCACGAGAATTAACGCAGTAAATTATTTTCCACGTCGTTAGATTTCAAAGGATACGCGATTCGCAAACGCTTCGGACCTGAACTGGAAGAACGTTTCAAAAACATCTTGAGCGACTACGACGACAAGTTCGAAGCACACAAAGCGTTATTGCGCGAAGGCTTGAAGAACGAAGAAGCTGCGTTTATAGTCCAACAATGGTTCAAGGACGAAGAAAATGTGAAGAAGAGAAAACCACCGACGAGAGATATGGTACATTACAAACTGAGACAAGCCGATCTCATACAATTCTCTCAAAGCGTAAGTAAACGATAAGTTTTAGATGACAAGAAATTATATTTCAATCATATTTCGTAATGCTCGATCAATTGTACGAATGATATATCGAAGGTTCACATGAAAAATCAAGAAGTGCACAAGAATTTACGTCACAATAAGCCAGGAGTGCGACTGAACGAGATAGAAGAACCGCCGCCGGATTACGTTCGACCCGAAGGATTCAACATGGTGCAGCCTATCATGCAATATCGAAGTGGCAATCAAGTGGACGGGGAAGAGACGATTAAGTACTATCGTGACTTGAAGGACGAGATGAGCAGGTAAATAGGCGTAATGCCCCGCCGCGATCGATTACCAACTCTCATTTTCTTCGAGCGAATGAGAAATTCGAATGCTCAATTTTCCAATGCTTTTGGCACTCGCATCGCAAGTGGTTCGGACTTCGAAGAAGAAGAAGTTGGCTGGGACTTACCGTTGATACAGCTAGAAAATGACCTTCACCCATTGACGAGGTACATTCGTAGATGATGAGAAAGATTTTATCAAGTTGTTACCTCTGTAACAAATTGCGACTGAAAATGTCAAAATTTAAAGGAATCTTTTCCTTTTTTCTTTCTTTCTTCCTTTCCTTTCTTTTATTTGGCGCTTAGGTCGCAGATTGGCAAAAATATTCGAGGCAAACGAGCTGCCTGTATTTTATCTCCTTGTACATATATATGTATGTATATATAAATTTTCGTCAGACCAAAGTTATGAAATTATCAGACGAAATTATATTCGTTCCTTGCTTATGTTTACGTCTACAAAGTGGACAAGCAAGTTAGATTGTAGCCGGCCTCGCTATCAAACAAGTGTACCGCACCTGTGTAAAACAGTGACGAGGAAAGAAAGCGTGAACTGTACATACGTACGTTTCTGCACAAAAATGACTGCTTGTTGTTTCTAATGTCAGGAGTCGAATGGGGCAGATTCTGGAAGTGAACACCGAGAGGAGAGAACGTTTGGAAGCACAGGCAGACTTTGCGATAACTTCGGAGCAGCAACTTTCGGATATATGGCACAAAGCTTTGAGAAATCCGACCGAGGATCAGGAACAAGAGAGCAACTCGGCCAGAGCGAGGTAAGATCGAACTTTCTCAACTAAACTTTTATTGCGTTATTGCCCAAACTTGAATTTCCCATTTAAATCGCCAACACTTTCCCTCACTGTCAGTTATCATTTGTTTTATTTTCTTTTTTTTTTCTTTTTTTTTCATTTCGCCAGACTCGCAATGCATCGTTCTTTCGCAAATAGGCAGTATCGTTAAATTAATCGTCGTACTATAGCGATTGAGTTTTACTAATCTTTCGTTGTGTTTCTATACTTTGCCAGAGGTATCATGGCAAACTTCCAGGTAAAATTATAAATTTACGCCATCCATAGAATATATCATACGTATTTAAAGGATTTCATCTCATTTAGAAACTACTTTGACGTAGATCCCATGGAAACATGAGGGAAAATTCATTTACAAAACTGAGGAAACGTACAGGACTGTAGAAATTTATTTTCTCGTACGCACGCTCCAGTTAAAATACAAGCAGTAGTGAAGAAAGAAATTGTAAAGAATAGAGACGTACGATCGAAGAAAAATACTTTATATAATATTTACTTATACATATATACTTTATATATATATATATATATATATATATATATATATATATATTTAAGTATGTGTGTATAGGTACTAATATATATAAAATATAAACTCCGTATAAAGATTATATATAAATTATTATTTATCGCCACTCATCGACTTTCATTTACTAATGGGTAGTTTTGAAACCAATAATGTAGATGATGATTCAAGATGTATACCAAAACGATCCTTTTCTTTGCAGTACAAGGACTAATTACGCGGCTGGCAAAGAGCTGCGGTTCCCTGAAAGATATCCGCATCGTAGACAACCTACAGTCGACTCTTCGAATATCAACCATTCAAATGGCCTACGATTCAAATGCATCGACAGACGCAGCGATGTAAATGGACGTCAAGAATCTATTGCTGGTCAGCAACGGCGTATCATCAATGGACACTGTATTGCAAATGCTCATCAAAACCTGTTTAAGGGAGGTTCCAATTTTACAAACGGACAATCGACGTTTGCCAACGGGCCACTAAATAATTATCACGGTTACGCGAACGGAGACGAAGCTCTAATTAACGGTCATCCAAACTCGGCGAACAATGCAGCCAAAGTTAATGGGCGCCCACCTTACAATAACGGATATCGAAATATCATCAGCGGTTGTCAAAATGGCCTGTTCATTAATAAAATGGTCGTGAACGATGAGTTGATCAAACCATCGAAATTGGCCCTTAACAATAATATAAATGGCCGTGTAAAGGAGATACAACCAGCGAAAAAAAGTGACAATTTAAGGAAACATCGATCGGCTGGCGTAGACAGTAAAAACGGGATCGATCGATTGGTCAATTGTCAAAACGCCATTAATGGTCGGCTAGTTACAGGGAAAGAGCTGGGTAAAGATACATTTGGAATTTCAACTGATCTTAGACAAATCCTCAAACCCACTGTCGTTCAAAAGCGGCAAGAGATCTTCAAGATAGACTACGATCCAGAGGATATCAATGGACCGTATAATTTCAGGCAACTATTGAGACCAACTGAATATCTTCCTACGGAGTCTTTGAGAAAAAGAAAGGGCAGCTTGGCTTGCAACGGAGTTGCCACGTCAAAGGACAAAGTTCCTGAAAAACACGTGAAGAGAAGAGCGCCGCTGGCACCAAATCAAAATAAGCTTGTTAACACGAGAAAATGAAGTCGACGGGACGCCAGAATGTTCAAAAAATTTTCTTAGAAATGTTTTTTCCAGATATTCTACAGGCACCATTTAGAGAGAACGTAGAAATACGTGATTGCGAATATATGAATCCCGTAGATCCTTTTAAGGATACATAAGCACAGACACGACAAAGGAGATAATGTTTTCGAAGATTTAAGATTTGAAAACATTATAGTAATTGCAAAATAATTTTTATCTAGTTAATATAATACGTAATGCGAATAATTTCTCACAAGACAAATGATTAAGGATTGGTAAATTATCAGGTGATTCTCTGTCAGTATTATTACCATATCAAATTGAAAATACGCAACGTCAGACGATTCGATGAAACTGTATCTGATAGTTTCCAAAATTAATCTGACTAGCCATTTTTCATTTAATTTTGTGAATGTTACTTATTCGTAAAATCTTTTCTTTCAAAAATTTGATTACAACAAATTCTGTGAAATTTAATTTATTGTAGTTCAAGATAATACGTGTTTTCCATCAATCGCGTTATTTTGTACTCATTTATTAACTCGTTGTTCGTTTGATTCGAGAGTTTGACCTTTTGTAACAGATGGAAAAGAAAACAATTTATTTATTTATTTGGTACAGTCAACTGCTGCTGCTTAACGAAATACATCATAAGAAAATTGTTTATTTAGAACTAGTCATGCGTAGCTTTACGAAAGTTAGATGCGTTCGATAGCGTTAAAATGAATGTCGTTCACAAAATCCTTATGGCGTTTTGTCGTAATATTTGCGTTTCAAACACGTACTTATAACTTGCAAGTATAACTAGGAATGTAATTTATTAATAAACTTGTTCATTAGTATCTCGTACTCTTAAGCGTTTACAATTATATCTTTAATTAGTCGCTATTGTCGAATATTTATTAAATCTTAATACTAGTATGCATTTCGAAAGTACTGCTTGTAAATAAAATTCTCATAGGAGCAAATCTACTTTCCTGTCACATTATTTTTAAATGTATTGTTTCTATATATTCTTTTTTTTTTTAATATTGGTATGATAATTTCACGTCTTAATATAAATTGCAAATTTATTTGATGAAAATTCTTTGCATTTCAATTTTCTTTTAATTTATCCTATTTCAACAAATAATAAAAAAGCAAGAAAAGAAAAATTGAGAAATATGAAGAATATAATTAAATAATTTTAGTAAGTCAAAACTATTTTTTGAAAATTTTTGTAATATCTTTGATACTTGACATTACAAGATTTAGGTTAGATTTAAAATATGGAGATTGTCAAGTTTGAATATTTTATACAAATCTATATGTTATACAGTGAGTATCGAGTTGGTAAATGATATGCACGCAAAATAAGACGGCAGTGTAAAGTAATGATGCATTAATAAAATTTATATTTCAATTAAGTGAGATTAATTTGTAATTTATATCAAAATGCGTGTTGGGAAGGGTTTATTAACGCAATGCTTCATTTCGTATATCTTTCTTAATGGCGCGTAAACTGAAAACAAAGGTTCAAAACTGGGCATACCTTCTTTTTAATACGTTGTCCTTGAAAGCGGGTCCTTGATTGAACGTAGCTCTGTTTCGCGAACTTGATTCTCAATCGTGATCCAAATGTGTACCGCATTTTCTTTCTTTCCTTTCAGTTTTTATAGAAAAATTTCGATTAAAACGCGGAGAACTTGAAAAGTAACTGACGAGCACTATCCACGCGCGGCAACTGAACTAGAGTGCAAAAGATGGCGCTGCCGAGGCTGCTTGAAATTCGATTGCATAGTTACACGGGGAGAAGTTTCAGGTAGGTGGCCGTTGCAACTGAACGTCGCTAGCGTCGTCGATTAGCGACGCAACGATTGGCCAGTAATTCGAATAGGGGGGCGTCTAGGGAAATAAGTGAAAACGCACGAGCACGAGCGCGAGTGTTGTGAGAGGGTAGTGAGGACGCACGAGAAGCAAGAGGGGTGCGACGAACCCTCTAGGCTTGGTTCGAGTCTACGGAGCTCGGAGTTGTGTTCGAATCATGGCGACACCCGACCCCGTAGACCCAGCCACCCTAGAGATAAAGACCCGTAGCATAGAACAGACACTACACCCACTAGTAAAGCAGGTAAGACAATTTATCGGAAACCGGAGAAAAAGAATGTTTGTTTGCTCTAATCACTTGGCTTTTATTTGAGCCGCTTACATTCCTGGCTTTTGATCGCGATAGGTTAAGGTCTTCTTACCCCGGCTTACCTCGATGCGTTACGTTCTGTTGCACGGCACACGACATCACCTATAGAATAACCATGCTTGTATATGTGTTCATCTATACGTCGCTCGTATATATCATACGTGTTACCGTACACGTGTAGGCGAGCGTGTACAAACGTGAACGATGCATGTATTCAGAGGGAAGCGAGAGAACCGCGGCACGCGCGACAGAGAAAACGAGTTGAACTCGTAAGACGAGCGAGAAAGCAACAAACGTACCGGTCGCGGTTAAGAGCGGGACAGATATACGCAAGGAGCGTGTCTGCGGGGGATTAAGTGTTACTTAAGACAAAGAATCTGCAGCATTAACCATTCCTTCGATATCGATTTGATCTTAACGAAAGCACTCTTTTTAGGCCTCCATGGTTTTAGTCTCGTAAGAAACATCACTCTTTATTTGACAGTTCTCGCGCCGGGCATGTGCTTTCCATCATCGAGCGACCGAACTACCACGCGCTCCGACTAACAGATATTTTGGTACATACTACTTCTTCGTTCTCTTCTATATATGTACCTCCTTCTTCCCCAGTTATATAGCCTGCTCGGTCTCTTTTTTTAAATCGTGACCCCCATACATGTCTATATATATGTACGTATATCACATATGTGCTTATATTTTGGTGTACTTACGTACATATATACTTGTGTTTCGCGTCGATTTCGAATTTTCGTACAATTAATATAATTACGACGATTTTCCATTCTACATAATCGCGACATGCCATTTGTGTGCATGGTTGTATATACTGTAGAAGAAAACACATGCAGAATACATGCAGAAGCACGTTCGAAAAGTCAAATGGGGAACTTGTATAAAGTTTTAATTGAATAAATTCGATGGCACCGGAGCACGAACACCGATCGAACAATATTACTACTGCGGTAAATACGACGTTAAAATTAAATTATAGATTCGGAAATAAATTTACTTATTTACTTTTAAAAGTTAAATCTCAAAAAGTATATTTTTTGAGCAAAAGTATAGTTTTTAATTTTTAATTTTTCAATTTATAAAAACTAATGCCTAATTCACTTACAGCAAAATATTGTAATAAAGTAAATTATATGGAACGATGGAAAATGAAACAAAGAATGTATATATATATATATATATATATATATATATATATATATACATATATATAGAGGAACGTCGCGTTGTGTGACAAATTTTCATTATGCAATTAATTTATTTTCTGTTTTTTACCTTTTTCGCCTCTGTCGCTAATTTCAAAGATGAAAAGGAATCACAAAAATTTTCAACAATTTATAATAATCTCTGCTCGTAATTGTGCGATTGATTTTCTATAAATATCGTGTTTATTCTCTGCGGCAAGTCGGATAATTTTCTTTAAATTTCCTTGCATTATTGAAATCTAAGAAATCCATCAAATTCATTAAATTAAAGGTCACAGATTCTTTTGATAATATTATATTACTCTTAAAATAAACGAAATTTCAAAAGTATTGTAACTCGATTATGTTTCTTAAAATAAATATCGAAGAATTATTGTTTCACTAATCACACAAATGAAATAGAGCGCACCTTCTTCTTTCATGGAAACTTCAAAGGAAATGTAGCTTTAAAAGAAATCTGAATTGACGATAGTCTTGTAACTTTGTCATTTGAAATCTTTGCCTCTTTGTATGACGAAATAGTCAAACATGAATTCACAATCAGTGCACAAACGACGTCATTGCCACAGGCAGAAGAGCAAACAGATTCCTTCTATCTAGTAAGCAATGGTTTAGTTTTTTCTTCTTTTTTTTTATATTTGCTTTAATTTTCAATGACCTTTGCGGACAGTCCTCTCACTAGTTGTATCTATAGCAGAATAGCACAATAGCAGATTAGTTATGTAAATGAATTTCTCTCGCATCGCTCATCGTCAGTATATTTAGTTAACATTTCGTTTTTTTTTTTTCTTTTTTTGGAAGGTATTCATAGGTAATTTGAGTGGCCGGTTCTTACATGAGATTTACAATACGACTTATGTATCTGCAAGCGAAAAATCGACTAGCATCGTTCAAAGATTTTTTTAATTTTTACAGAGGATTAACTTGGGGTAAACGATTAGAGATAAGCAGCAAAAATAGCAAGTTTGGAAAAAATGATATTCGACAAGGCGTCTCATACGTAGTCGGTCAGGTAGCAAATGGGAATGATCGATCGGTCCAATTAAGTGACTATCGTTTGTGGACGTGTTGCAGTGAAAATTATTTCAAGTCGAAAGGCAGCGAAATATCAGTCGGTCATGAACGACCTTTGTGTGACGTTAAGCGATATTCCTTAATATTAGTGTACACCTACGGACACAAAGAAACGCGAAATTGATGTGTATTGGTTAAACCTCTTAGATAGAGAAAGCGCGCGAGTGTCTGGTGCATGACACAGAAGGCGATCGTTACGGGCTGCAGCCACTTGTTAGAGCTCCGTCTAGTCACCCCCTGACTCTTTCTCCTATCTTTCTTCTTCTTTTACTTCTTCTTTTCTTCCTTCTCTCCGCTTTCACTCCCTTCCATCCCCTTCTGTCCCCTTCTAGCCCTTTCTACCTCCTGACAGAGACCTTCGACCTACACTTTTCGCACAACCTATTCCCTCAACCCTATCCTAGAGTGGTGGTCGAGCTGCGGTCAATGTTTTATTGACCATCGCTTACTTTATTCGTTGGTAATCCCGATCATTTCCTTTAATGCTCATTCCTTTCCTCCAGTTTGCGACTGATTTTCCATCGATTGATTATCCTTGTAAAATCGGTTTTAATCCTTTAATCGGTCGTTTAATCCTTTCGGGACGATAGCTACTTCACAGCTGATTTTCAGAAAAACCCTGCCAAACCATTTTTCTATCATTCGTTCAAAATTGAGAAATTGATTGAAAAAAAATTATTTATTTTTCGAATATACGAATTTGTGAACTTCTCTCATTATCGTTATAGTTTGTGGTAGCAGTGATAAAAACTAATTGTGAATATGTTATTTTTTTACGTCATCTTTGTTTGCTAAGAAAGGCAAATGCAAAAAGTTTCCCGCAGTATTTTAATCAACCCTGGTTCCAGAGTTTAACTCAGACTCTGATATCATTGACGTGTTAAGATTAATGACTGCAGGCTGTCCATTACGCCTCTCAGTTGTAAATGCAAATTAGACGGTAATTATGGAGCAATCTACCAACGGATATCAATACACCGTAAAAATTTAGTTACACGTGTCATTTTTCAAATTTTTGATCAAAGAAATTGCTAATTTTTATTTTCTACCAATTTTTCGATGACAGATTCGGATATTTTTTATAATTTTGTTAACTCGCTACTGCATATTTTATGAAATTAAACAATTTTATAGGGAAATGTTCTATCCAGCTGGTTAGAAGGTATAGTTGAGCATTAAATTGTGCTAATATTCATCGATATTTTTCCAACATACTTTGCACTCGTAAATAATTTAGCCTTTCTCCCAAGATTCACTTCAAAATGTAAGATTTGATTTGTTATTTGCTGACTTGTTTGCTCATATTTCGAGTGTTTGTTATAAAACGATTTTGTCCATCACTATACGTAACGAATTTCTCACAAAATAATGTTATTATATTTTCTTCCACAATTTCTAATTTTCTCTTCTTCTTCTTCTTCTTCTTCCGTTTTCTTAACAAAACGATCGTTGTCTGTTATATATATTTGTCGGACGAGAAAAGAAGAACCTTTAGCGGAAAAATCGGCGACATTTTCGTAAACCAGCAATATCTGGTGAGAATTGCTCGAGTGACACACTTGAACACTTCAATTAACCTCGATCTCCAACCCATTACTGACACGTTACGATCAGTGACTATGATCATAGACTTCCGCAGTATCTGTCCTCGGTTATATACATACGAGGAACTGTGGCAAACAAATAGTACCATAAAGCGTTAAAACATCTCGAAGAATATTTTGTCATCGTTTCAATGAACTCGTTAAACTTGATCTTAAATCTTCTTGAAATGTTCTCTTATTGCGATCATATCTCTTTCAAGTTTCATAAAGGGTTAGTTATGTTTTATACTCGCATGTTCTGTTCGTGTAAAAAGGCAATTTTAAAATACGTATGTCGTGGGTGAAGCATTTTTCAGTTTTGAACTAGTTTTTGCTCTGCTCGATAGAGCTTTCAATGAACGAGACTTTTATCCATTTTTATCCATCGTTTGCAGCAACGAATTCAATATAAACCCACGTGAGTTTCAAGGTACGATTTACATTTCTATTTAAAGCGGAGTCCTTTCTCGTTAAAGGAATTTAGTCTACTGTCTCGGCCAATAAACACATGATTAGATTCAAGTAAATGAAGCAATTCTCTTGTATTTTCTCGCACACGTACGAGATCACGTTGATTTTGAGTCTGTACAAGTCCGTCAGCAAATTCCGCTGAAAAGTTATTTTTTCATATTTTCGATTGTTCAGATATTACCGTGACTGAAGCCACGAAAAGACAGAAATTTCCCTGACAAGAGCGTGCGGTGAACTGTAATTTATGACCTGAAAAAGCAGTCGGCCTTAAGATTCTCGGCGAAGTAGCTTTAAACCTCAGAAAAAGGTTAGGTTAGAAAATTTCATACTATGCAAGTACTTGCGAACAGAGTTAAATGGTTTTCACGATTTTAAACGATCACAATTTTGCAAATTGTTTTCTATTTCATAGCTGCAAGTGCTTGAATTTTATTCAAAGAATTAACTCGTTGGTTTCGTCAAACTCTTGTAATTGGAATTTCGTTTCTTTATAAGAAAATGTAGAAAATATAGGTATATGAGTGAAAGATACTTACATACGTGTCGATTCGGTTAGGTCCATAGATAATTGAAATGTATTTTTAGATTT